GTAGTCACAGGGCTGAGACTGGGACACACAAGGCTAAATAGTACATTGAAAGTGGTGGGGAAACATCCGACTGGGAGATGTGATCATTGTCAGGAGGAGATGGAGACAGTGGAACATGTTCTATTTCAGTGTCAGAAATATGCAGTGGTGGAAAAAGTACCCAATTGTCATACTTGAGTAAAAGTATAGATACCTTAATAGAAAGTTTCTCAAGTAAAAGTGAAAGTCAGCCAGCAAAATACTACTTCAGCAAAAAAGTCTAAAAGTATTTGGTTTTAAATATACTTAAGTATCAAAAGTAAAAGTATAAATGATTAAAAATGTCTTATATTAAGCAAAGCAGACAGCACCATTTTCTTGTTTTTAAAATGTACAGATAGCCAGGGGCACACTCCAACACTCAGACATTATTTACAAAAGATGCATGTGTGTTTAGTGAGTCCGCCAGGCAAGAGGCAGTAGGGTACAGATACCCAGTATGAAAATGTATGCACTCACTAAAACTGTAAGTCGCTCTGGATAAGAGTGTCTGCTAAATGACTAAAATGTAAAATGTAAAATGGATGACCACGTGTTCTCTTGATAAGTGCTTGAATTTGACAATTTTCCTGTCCTGCTAATCATTCAAAATGTAACGAGTACTTTTGCTTGTCAGGGAAAATGTATGGAGTAAAAAGTACAATATTTTCTTTAGGAATGTAGTGAAGTAAAAGTAGTCAAAAATATAAATAGTAAAGTAAAGTACAGATAACCCAAAAAACTAATTAAGTAGTACTTTCAAGTATTTTTATTTAGTTACTTTAGACCACTGGAAATATGTGAGAGAAAGGGAACAATTGTTATTAGATTTGAGGAGTAATGGGGTTGAAGAGCCAGGATTAAGTGAACTGCTGGGGAAATCTTCAGGGGATGTAGTATTTAATAATGTATTTCGTTTCCTTAGGGAAATCCTATTGGGTAGGATTTTGAACTTCACTATCTCTGGTCCACACTCCAGTCCAGTTGGTGGCGGTAATGCACCTTAAAGTAGGTTGCCAACCGCCATATAAAATCTACAGAAGAAGAACAAGATGCAGAAGAAGAAGAAGCTAACTTCAAAACAACACTTTGTGTACTACAATGGAATGCTCGAAGCCTGTTGGCTAATGGGCAGGAATTCAAGCAGTTCAAGATGATAGGCAAAGGTATTGAACATGAGTATGTGGTGGTGGAGGTGTGTCTGAGAGGAGGGGTGCTAGTGAACTACTATAATCTGTGTCAGATATTGGACATGGAAGTGCTGGAGAGGGTGGAGGGCCAGGAAAGAAGTAAGGTAATGTGGTGTGGGGATGGAAATGGCCAAGTTATGGAGAATTTGATAGAAAATAAAGATCTGGTGTGCCTGAATGATGGCCGAGGGACCAGGATTGATGTAGCCACAGGGAAAGAGTCTGCCTTGGACCTCACTCTGGTATCTAGTGCGATGGCAGGAATCTGAGAGTGAGAGGAATGGGAGGAATCAACAGTAGGGAGTGATCATTACCCCACAGTAGGCCGGAGGGAGGAGGAGGTGTCAGTGGATGGAGTAGGCAGGTGGGTGTTTGGAAGGGCAATGTGGGATCAGTTTCAGGAGCTGAGTGAGCAGGTGATGGCTCGGATGGATATGAGAGGGGATGTGGATAGGATGAATAACTGGGTGAGAACAGCGTTAGTGGGGGCAGCTACTGAGGCTATACCTAAGAGTTCAGGGAGGAGGAGGAGGAGGAGGAGGAGGAAAGCAGTCCCATGGTGGACGGAGGAATGTGGGGCAATGGTGAGGAGTAGGAACAGGGCATTTAGAGTACTGAAAAGGACGCATAACTTCCAACATCTGATTTAGTATAAGCAGGCCCAGGCCCTTGTGAGGAGAACTATCCGTCAGGCAAAGAGGTCATGTTGGCATCGGTTCTGTGACACCATTGGAAGGGCGACATCTGTGGGAGAAGTGTGGGGGATGATTAAGAGGATGAGTGGGATCAGAAGGGAGTGGGATTATCCAGTGTTGACGAGTGGGGAGGATGTGGCAGTAACAGATGAGGAGAAAGCAGAGATGATGGCCAAAGCATTTGTCCAAGTGCATAGCTCCGCAAATCTGTCAGAGGAGGGGCAGAGGGGGAGAGAGAACATGAGAGAGGAGCCTCCTGGAGTGCTGGAAAGGAGGGAGGATGTAGATGATGCGTTGAGTGCACCATTTACCAGGGCAGAGGTGAAAAGAGCAATAGGTAAGGCTGGGTTAACTTCACCTGGGAAAGATGAGGTGTGCTATGTTATGTTGGCCCATCTTAGTGATGAGGCACTGGATAAGTTATTGGTGTTGTACAACAGAGTGTGGGAGGAGGGGAAACTACCAGGCAGTTGGAAGGAGGCAGTAGTGGTACCAATCCGGAAGCCCGGGAAGCATCCAACGAAGCCAACAAGCTATCGGCCAATAGCTTTAACATCACATGTATGTAAGATTATGGAACGTATGATTACGGAGAGGCTAACTTACTTCCTGGAGAGCAGAGGGCTAGTAACGCCACATCAGAGTGGGTTCAGGAAGGGTAGGGGAACTATGGATCCAGTGCTCTGCTTAGAAGCAGAGGTCAGGAAGGCTCAGGTGAACAAGGAGACTGTTGTAGCTGTCTTTTTTGATGTGGAGAAGGCATATGATATGATGTGGAAGGAGGGGTTGTTAATCAAGCTTGATATTATGGGGGTAGGAGGAAGAATGTACAACTGGATAAAGGATTTCCTGTTTGGAAGGTCTATCCAGGTGAGGGTGGGGAAGTCTTTATCAGGCAGCTACTTGGTGGATAATGGTACACCGCAGAGGAGCGTGATTAGTCCTCTGTTGTTCTCAATCATGATCAATGATGTTTACTCTCAGGTACAGCCGGATATAGGGAGGACATTATTTGCAGATGATGGTGCCTTATGGAAGAGGGGAAGAAATGTGCCATACTTAGTCAGGAAGGTACAGGAAGCAATTGATGAGGTAGAGCAGTGGGCATTAATGTGGGGATACAGGTTCTCTGTAGAGAAAACTCAAATAGTGTTCTTTACCAGGAGGAAGGTGGGAGATGAGGTATGCTTGAGGTTATATGGGAGAAACTTGGAGAGGGTGGGGGCCTTCAGGTTCCTTGGGGTATACTTTGACACTAGACTGACCTGAGCAGAACACATTGAGAGAGTGGTGGGAAATTGTAAGAGGGTGCTAAATGTGATGCGCTGTCTGACGGGGAAGGAGTGGGGGGCTGGGCGTTCCTCATTGAAGACCAAGTATGTTGTATTGATCCGATCTGTAATAGACTATGGCAGTATAGCATATGGTTCGGCAGCCCGGACCTCACTGGAAAGGCTAGATGTCATACAGGGGCAAGGACTCAGAATATGTATTAGGGGCGTTTCGGACGTCCCCAGTGGCTGCATTACAGGTGGAGATGGGGGACATGCCGTTGCAGATTAGGAGACAGCAGCTGGCAATGAATTATTGGGTCAACCTACAAGGACATGGGGTGTCTCATCCTGCAAAAGGGATTTTACAGGCATGCTGGGAACATGAACGAAGACCGAACACGAGCTTTGGGTGGGTGGGTAATACCCAGGCGATGGAGATGGGACTGTATGGAAGGGAGTTTAGTCCAACGGTAGTTATTCCTGTAAATCCACCATGGCTACTCCCGCCTCCAGTAGTTGATCTAGAAGTGTTGGAGAGACTACAGAAAGATAGGGAGGGTGTTGATCCAGCTGATTTCTTTAAGAGACGTCTGGAAACTGTGTATCAGGATTTTGTGGCCATTTACACAGATGGTTCAAAAGATCCAAGGACAGGACGTACTGGGTCTGCATTTGTAGTGCAGGAATGTGGGGTGGAAGTCAGGAAACGTATTACAGATCATCTGGCTGTATATACTGCGGAGCTGATGGCCATACTGTTGGCCTTGCAGTGGGTGGAGGAAGTTAAGCCAGAGAGTAGTTATTTACTCTGATTCATGTGCAGTGTTAATGAGTCTCCAGTCCTTTAGATCACGTAGCAGACAAGACCTGCTTTATGATGTGCTACAAACCCATGGCAGGATTAAACAGATGGGTATTCAGATAAGATTTACTTGGGTCCCAGCCCATGTGGGGGTGGAGGGGAATGAGGCAGTAGATGAACAGGCTAAACAAGCACTTAGTAGTGGGGATGTTGATGTTGAAGTGTCAATGAGCAAGGCAGAGGCAGAAAGACTGATATATACAGTGATGGCAGGAGCAGTGGAATAGAGATAATAAGGGAAGGCATTTATTTCAAGTACAGAAGAAAGTCGGGGTGGGGAGGATGGCAGGAAGGGACAGAAGAGAGGAGGCTATTTTACAAGATTAAGGGTGGGACACAGCCAGTTGAATAAGACATTAAATGTGATAGGAAAGCATCCATCAGGAAAGTGTGATTATTGTCAGGAAATAGAGACCATGGAGCATGTATTGCTATAGTGTGGGCAGTATCAGAGGGAAAGAGAGAGGATGAGATCTAGTATGAGGGAGAAGGGGATACAGGAAATTAGTTTAAAGAGTATATTGAGTAGAACGTCATTAGATATAGTCTCAAATATTTTGTTATCTTTTTTAAGAGAAACAGGGTTGGCAGGTAGGATTTAGTTTCTCCCCGTCTCTGGCCCACACTCCAGTACGGTAGGTGGCGGTAATGCACCATAACGTTGGCTGCCAACCGCCGATAAACCCAACTGAAGAAGAAGAAGAAGAAGACGAACACCTTGTGGCGCACACAGTCAGCAGGTCAGTACGCATTGGTTAGATGCCTGTACGCTGATCGTCATGGTGAAATTATATCATAGACTACTCTAGTGAGTGGACATGGCTGAGATTGAATTTACTACGGAGCTCAGCTTGATATAGCCTTGTTCACTTAATGTTTGTTATTGTTATTCTGCCTGCTAGTTTAGCTAACGCTAGCTAGCTTAGCATTTCACTCTCATTGTCTGTCTTTTGCTGTACAGAAATGGTTCCATCAAATCTTGGGGAAGAAATGTCTACTGAAGTAGTTTTACCACCTGAGTGGGAGGACGATGAACGGATGAATTTCCTGTTCTCTGACTTTAAAGAGAACCGAGATGTCAGCACAACAGATTGGGACAGTAAAATGGATTTCTGGACAACACTCATTCTTAAAATCTGCAGGAGTCGCGGAACCGTCTGTGTTCATTTGCAGGAGCTGAACAAGATTTTTCAGAGAAAGGGAATTATGCCTTTGGGTTTGGGTACTGTCATTCAGTGCATGGCCAGGTATAATATCAATGAAATGCCATCTTCTAAAGTGTGAGCAAAATATAGCCTACTTAAAAGTGCCCTAGTCCCACTTTCCTTACCTGACTGTACTTGTTTGTATTTCTGGCAGGTGTGGAAAGATGCAAAGGGAGTCAGAGTTTGCAGCAAATGTAGACTGTGGGTGGGTGTCTTGGGGTGTTGGTCTGTTGCTGGTGAAGCCTTTAAAATGGACATTTTCAACTCTTCTGGGTAGCAGTGGGGTTACTTTGAAGGAGTCGTTTGTCGTCATCGAACTAGTAAAGGTGTGCATTATTAATTAATTCAAAACATGTTAACGGGCAACTAGCATTTAACACTAACCTCTTACTTATGTTCTGTATGTTTCCTCCAGGAGAAGGCAGCAGAATTGCTTGGTGTCTACCGGAGCTCCCAAGTGGCCAACCACTCTCTCCTGTCCTTCCAGGAGCTCCGTACACTGTCGTCCGATGTCTGTGTTGACGAGAGTACCCTGTGTATGGCTCTGCTACAGCTGCAGAGGGAGAAGCAGGTGACAGTATCACTGCATGAAGGCGAGAAGGTGAGGATAATAGAATCATTAATTTAAGTGAGCATATTATTACATGTACAGTCGTGGTCAAACGTTTTGAGAATGACAGGTATTGGTCTTCACAAAGTTTGCTGCTTCAGTGTTTTTAGATATTTTTGTCAGGTGTTACTATGGTATACTGAAGTATAATTACAAGCATTCCATAAGTGTCAAAGGCTTTTATTGACAATTGCATTAAGTTTATGCAAAGAGTCAATAGCTGCAGTGTTGACCCTTCTTTTTCAAGACCTCTGCAATCAGCCCTGGCATGCTGTCAATTAACTTCTGGGCCACATCCTGACTGATGGCAGCCCATTCTTACATAATCAATGCTTGGAGTTTGTCAGAATTTGTGGGTTTTTGTTTGTCCACCCGCCTCTTGAGGATTGACCACAAGTTCTCAATGGGATTAAGGTCTGGGGAGTTTCCTGGCCATGGACCCAAAACTTCAATGTTTTGTTCCCCGAGCCACTTAGTGATCTCTTTTGACTTATGGCAAGGTGCTCCATCATGCTGGAAAAGGCATTGTTCGTCCCCAAACTGTTCTTGGATGGTTGGGAGAAGTTGCTCTCGGAGGATGTGTTGGTACCATTCTTTATTCATGGCTGTGTTTTTAGGCAAAATTGTGAGTGAGCCCACTCCCTTGGCTGATAAGCAACCCCACACATGAATGGTCTCAGGATACTTTACTGTTGGCATGACACAGGACTGATAGTAGCGCTCACCTTGGTGCCCCAAACAATCGTAAAGGGGATTCATCAGAGAAAATGACTTTACCCCAGTCTTCAGCAGTCCAATCCCTGTACCTTTTGCAGAAGAGAAGTGGCTTCCTTGCTGCCCTTCTTGACACCAGGCCATCCTCCAAAAGTCTTCGCCTCACACCTGCCTGCTGCCATTCCTGAGCAAGCTCTGCACTGTTGGTGCCCCGATCCAGCAGCTTAATCAACTTTAGGAGACGGTCCTGGCGCTTGCTGGACTTTCTTGGGCACCCTGAAGCCTTCTTCACAACAATTTAACCTCTCTCCTTGAAGTTCTTGATGATCCGATAAATTGTTGGTTTAGGTGCAATCTTACTAGCAGCAATATCCTTGCCTGTGAAGCCCTTTTTGTGCAAAGCAATGATGACGGCACGTGTTTCCTTGCAGGTAACCATGGTTAACAGAGGAAGAACAATGATTTCAAGCACCAACCTCCTTTTAAAGCTTCCAGTCTGTTATTCTGACTCAGTCAGCATGACAGAGTGATCTCCAGCCTTGTCCTCGTCAACACTCTCACCTGTGTTAACGAGAGAATCACTGACATGATGTCAGCTGGTCCTTTTGTGGCAGGGCTGAAATGCAGTATAAATGTTTTTTGGGGATTAAGTTCATTTTCATGGCAAACAGGGACTTTGCAATTAATTGCAATTCATCTGATCACTCTTCATAACATTCTGGAGTATATGCAAATTGCCATCATAAAAACTGAGGCAGCAGACTTTGTGAAAATGAATACTTGTCATTCTCAAAACTTTTGACCACGACTGTACAGTAACTCATACCATTATCCATGAGCTTTCACACAGATTGTTTTGAGGATAATGTCACTGTATCAGGGTTGCATTGAGCCAATGTTTTTTTTTTTTGTCTGTACAGATTGTGAAGTTTTCTCAGCCAGGACAGGATCATGTGTCTCCTGTCAGTGATGTAGACCTAGGCATCTACCAGCTGCAGCACAGTGAGAGACTGCTTGAAGAGAGGGTGGAGGCATTGGGACTAGAGGCAGAGAAGTGCGTCCCTGACACACCATTAAGTGTTGTCTCGTGCAGTGCAGTGTCTTCAGTCTGAGAAATAAATGTGATGTTATAAGATTGTGTGTGATTTCTGCTTGTGCTGTGTTATCTGTTTGTAGGTGCAAAGAAGAAGCTAGGGTGTTGCTGCGGGAAGGGAAGAAATCTCAGGTCGATTTACAATCCTATGATCCTGTGTTGACTTTTTGTCTTTCACCAACTCAAATGCTGTCTGGGAAACCTCAATTAATTTCTCTCCCCCAGGCCCTGAGGTGTTTGAGAAGCCGAAAGAGAGTCGAGAAGAAAGCAGACCACTTATATGCCCAGCTGGAAAATGTGAAGGGAATCCTGGACAGGATAGCAAACTCACAGACAGACAAACTGGTGAGTATGCACTTGATACATTGACATTCAAATATCTAACAAAACAGAGCAAGCTAAAGTTAGCCTAAAAGTACAATGTGGGTAATTTGTGGCCAATGTTATCGCTCTCCTAAGTCCCACATACAGGAACTAAGGTCCTGTGTTCTCTTTATATCAATCTTTCTGCATGCCTCTATAGGTGATACAGGCGTATCAGGCTGGAGTGTCAGCCCTGCGACTCTCTTTGAGGGATGTGACCGTAGAAGGAGCTGAGAGCCTTGTGGATCAAATCCAAGAGGTCAGACTCTTCTTTACCGGGACTGCATTTAGATACTATTATTGAGCTGTTGCATGTCCACACCAGTCTAAATGTATTTTCTCACTGTTTGATATTACAGTTGTGTGACACTCAGGGTGAAGTTAACCAAATTCTGGCAGGTGGAGCGCTCAACTCAAGTATGTCCTATTCCATATTATACAGCTACTTAGTTGTAGTGCCAAACTGAGCCAATTTCATAATCAAAGTGCCAAAGTCCAGAGGGACTGACAAATGATCCTATTCCTATTTGTTTAGCGGATGCAGACGGGCTGGAGGATGAGCTAAGATCTTTATTGGAGAACTCTACTCTGGATTGGCCTTCCACGCTACCTGAAGTATCGTCACACCCTCTTTCACCTGTCAGGGAATCTGGTTCCTTTTGTGATGATCTGCTGAGCGCTTTGCCCTCAGTCCCTCAAAGCCACTTCAATATCACAGATGATGAACTGGACAAAGAGTGTAGTCGCATAACCCTTGCAAATACAGGTATGCCTCTGTCTTGTTCCTTTATCTTTCAAATACTACCACAAAAGAGGCTACTGAAGTAACCTTTGTTTACTCATCACTCCCTATAGGTCTTCAACAAAAATATCATACCTCTCCAGTGAAGAGGGCTGAGCCTGCACAGTGACAACGCTAATAAAAATATGTCAACTGCAATAATGAGCCCTGACCCTAAAAGAGTGTCTGGACATGGTGATCAAAAATAATTGGGTGTTGTCATTTGTAACAGGTCTGTGATCACTGATCAGGGACTTCCTTTTTAAATGCACTTATACAGGGGCGTCAAACTCATTCTAGTGATTGCTGGTTTTCTTTATTAACTTTCAGTTAAGACCTAGACAACCAGGTGATGGGAGTTCCATACTAATTAGTGACCTTAATTCATCAATCAAGTACAAGGGAGGAGCAAAGACCCGAGGCCCTCTGTGGAATGAGTTTGACACATGCACTTATAGATGGCCTTTGTAAGTTTATGTATCACTCAATCTAATAAATATATCGGTAACAATTATGATGCCAAATTATATAAAGCCACTATTTCAGATCGACTAATGAGTTGGGTGGTATGATAATATCAGTTTATATACCAAATATGTATTAAATGTATTTGTCATATCCACACTACAGTTTTGTTTCTGTTTCCTTGTGTTCAATGAACTTGCAAATGTTTCTTCAATTGTGGCAACTTGGAGTTGTACGATCACGTTGCCTTGCCTTGGACCCGTGAAAGCTATCAGAATACTCAGTTACCAAATAGCCTCTTGAGACATTGGAATGATGTGCAAGAAAATATGCTCAATCCCCCAAATCTGCAAGTGGGAAAGCACACATGCTTGAATAATGACATACTGACTAGCTAGCTACTTACTGCAAGCGGGCTACACCGGTGAAAGCTGCCGGGGATGAAAAAAAATCGTCACCTTCAAATTTACCACGTCACTCGCATCTGCCTGACCTGCGTATTGGATAGGTAACTAGCTAGCCACTGTGCTTTTAGCAATTCCTCCTCCTGCTAGCTAGTATTATTAATAATAATAGTCCGTAGCAAACTAGCGAATGTTTTATGCAACGAAGTCGTTCGAAACCAAATGGTGAGTAGCTAATTTAGCTAGCTACTTGGGTTTTAGATGCACCGTGGGTGGGTACAACAGCGTACTGTACTTGTCTAGGCTAACTTAGTGTTCTGTTTCGCTAGCTAAAAATCAAACATTAGCCCGGTTAATCAGCATGCTAACTACCAGGTCTATTGTTTACCCATGAGACTAGGAAAAGCTATCATGCCAGCTAAAGTAGTGACTATCTGATAATAGCTAACTCACTAAAGTTAGTTGAACCAGCTAACAACTAATTGAAATCGGACCATCCTCGCTAACGTTGATAGCTACGTGGCAAATGTGGTGCATGAGCTGGTGGCCAAATGTCACCATTTGGTATTGACACGCGTTGGTTTCAGTAATAATGACAGCATATCTTGTAGCTAAAGTGTTTAATTTCTTTTACAAAGACCATGAGCAGTTGGGACAATGTTGGTGAGGGTTCGAAGCAAACACCCCCGGTCTTCAGTGTCCCCTTGGATTTTCATCCAGTGAACTAAGACAGTTCACGTCATGGGAAGGTAGGCTCGGCCGACTGAGTAGAAGACCAATAAATGTTTTGGCAAAATTTAGCAACTCACATCTCGCTCTACCCTTTAATTATTATGCCGTGATCGTCAGTCATGCAATATCGCTATTATATAGACTAGTCACACTGTCTTTAAACATACATACATACATACTGAGGTTTCTCTTCTTACAGGATCAGCTTCTCATGCCTCCCAGCCTCCTGGCATTTCAGCCTGTCGCCCCTGGTTCTACCCCGGTTCCTGCTACCTTCATTCAGGCAGCTGCTGCTCTTTGGTCTGCTGGTGGGACTGCTAGGACTGATTTACCTGTTGCTGGTAACAGGAAAGGGCCAGGACAGCTGGATCAGAAAGGACAACTATTTCCACAGGTGAGACACTAGTACCACATTAGAAGAGAGCCACCCCCCCCCCCCCCCCCCCCCCCAAAAAAAAAGTTGTTTGTAGAGGACACATGCAGTGAATGCCTTTTATTTATCGTTATGTATTCCTGTAAAGACATGGAAGTTCATTTTTGGCCTAAAATGTTCATCTTTTCACCCAGACACTTGGCGAGGGTCACAGATGTGGAGGCCACAGACACCAGCAATCCCAACCTAAACTACGGTCTGGTGGTGGACTGCGGCAGCAGTGGCTCCAGGGTGTTTGTGTACTGTTGGCCCCGGCACAATGGCAATCCCCATGACCTGCTCGACATCCAGCAGATGAGAGATCAGCACAGGAAACCAGTGGTCATGAAGATCAAACCAGGTGAGGAATACCTGGTTGCTGATGACTGGTGTGCTGCTGGGAATAGTGTAGAAGACATTGGCTTCTAGTTTAAAGAACTAATCCATTCCATCCAAGAAAGACTGAGCCATGGTCTTATGACTTTCTGGTGTTATTTTTTAAAGGTATCGCAGAGCTAGCAAAAACACCAGAGAAGGCCAGTGATTACATCCACCCCCTGCTGAGCTTCGCTGCCCAGCACGTTCCCAAACACAAGCACCAGGAGACCCCTCTGTACATCCTGTGCACTGCTGGAATGAGGGTGCTGCCTGACGGGTACAGTTACCCACCACACCTGAGAGTATTTCTCATCTTGAGATGGAAGCTGCAATTATTATTTATTTTTTTACCACTGTAACCATGCTGAAATTGGCTTGTATACTCTTTTTCAGTCAACAGGAAGCGCTTCTTGAGGATCTACGGACTGACATCCCTGTCCGTTTCAACTTCCTCTTCTCTGATTCCCATGTGGAGGTCATTTCTGGCAAGCAGGAAGGTGAGCTAACCTGTTTATAGAAGCTGGCAAGCTAAACACTGGCCATTCTGATGGAGGATGTCACCATGCTCAGTGTTGAAAATCTGTAACATAACAGTAGAAATTCTGGAATATATGACCGGGCTCTACAGTGCAACCATTTTGCTGTGTGACCTAGAATTTTAATTAAGAATTCTAGCTTTATTAGCTCAAATATTTTTAATTGTGCCCCTAAATTTCTTTGTGTGTACCTACAATTTTCAATTTAGGCGCACAAATGCTCCTTGTACATTTGTTTTTTTTTTAAGTCAGCGTAGAGCCCTGTATGAGTTGTCATTTCTTGTGTTTGAACAGGTGTGTATGCATGGATTGGAATCAACTTTGTCCTTGGAAAGTTTAATCATGTGGATAGTGGTAAGTATCTAAAGAACTTTCCTTGAGATCTGCATATCTTCACATTGAATAATTTAATTCCTTCTTTCCCTTGTTTTACTTACGTCTGACACTCCTCTTTATTTGTCTCCCGTCCCCTTCTTCAATGGGACCTTCGGCTCTTCTTCATTCCTTCCTATAGAGAGGGATGCAGTAGTAGAGGTGCAGGTCCCTGGAGGTGACCAGCAGGAGGCGCTGGTGAGGATGCAGACCACCGGTGTTCTGGACATGGGCGGTGTCTCCACACAGATAGCGTACGAAGTGCCCAAAACTGTAAGCTTTGCTTCTCCACAACAGGTTATTATAAACAACAATTTCACTTTTTTGTGGTTTTGTCACTCACCCATTTTCTCTTCACCCCAACCACTCTCATTCCCTGGTTAAACCTGTAAACATCATGTTTGTCCTCTGGAGATGAAGTCCTCTACATTCAGGGTGGACTATTGGAGGTCTGCTGTAAAGATAAGCCTGCTGCATGGCTTCATAACAGGATTTGGGCTTTATCATTAACATACTAGCCAGAATGTGTTACTTTGAAACTTGAATGAATATCAACGATAATGCATAAGAGCCATCATGCAAAACATCCATGACCGGTTTATGTCTATGGTTTTTAATTTACTCTGACAATTTGTATGCTCTCCTTCTCTTCTCATTGTTTTTGCTCTCCACTGAACGTAATTCACCTGCAGCTTTTGCTATATGCGGAACTGTCTTGATCCAAGTTTCTTTAAGTAAATGATGGTTACAGTGCATTCTGAAAGTATTCAGACCCCTTGACTTTTTCCACATTTTGTTATAGCCTTATTCTAAAATTGATGAGATTGAAAAAACAATCTATACACAATACCCCATAATGACGAAGCAAAAACAGGTTTTTAGAAATTGTTGCAAATGTATTAAAAAAGAAACTGATCACATTTACATAAGTAATTCAGACCCTTTACTCAGCACTTTGTTGAAGCACCTTTGGCAGAAATTACAGCCTTGTGTCTTCTTGGGTATGACGCTACAAGCTTGGCACATCGGTATTTGGGGAATTTCTCCTATTCTTCTCTGCAGATCCTCTCAAGCTCTTTCAGGTTGGATTGGGAGCTATTTTCAGGTCTCTCCAGAGAAGTTCGATCGGTTTCAAGTCCGGGCTTTGGCTGGGCCACTCAACGACATTCAGAGACTTGTCCCGAAGCCACTCCTGTGTTGTCTTAGCTGTGTGCTTAGGGTCGTTGTCCTGTTGGAAGGTGAACCTTCACGCCAGTCTGAGGTCCTGAGTGCTCTGGAGCAGGTTTTCATCAAGGATCTCTCTATACTTTGCTCCGTTCATCTTTCCCTCAATCCTGACTAGTCTCCCAGTCCCTGTCGCTGAAAAATATTCACAAAGCATGATGCTGCCACCACCATGCTTCACCGTAGGGATGGTGCCCGGTTTCCTCCAGACGTGACGCTTGGCATTCAGGCCAAAGAGTTCAATCTTGGTTTCATCAGACCAGAGACTCCTTTAGGTGCCTTTTGGCAAACTCCAAGCCGGCTGTCATGTGCCTTTTACTGAGGAGTGGCTTGGTGGTCTGAATACTTTTCGAATACACTGCATATATGTAGCCTTACTATAATCAATTAATATGTTGGATATTAGTGTAGACTTAGTCCTAGATAATAGAGAGAGAACCATTTCCTGGCTGATATTGAATGTTATATTTTTTTTGTAGGAGGAAGTGGCCAAAAATTTGCTTGCGGAATTCAACCTGGGTTGCGATGCCCACCGGACAGAGCATGTCTACCGGGTCTATGTGTCCACCTTCCTGGGCTTTGGAGGCAATGCTGCACGACAAAGATACGAGGAGAGCATTGTCATGAACACTCTCACTAAAAACAAGTAAGAACCTTCAACACATGCTATGATAGCTAATTTTGATACTGATAGAGTGTACTAGTTTGACATTGTTCAGTGCTGCTGTTGCTTGTCTTTATGGAGAACTCATTTGAGTTGGTTTGTCCAGGCTCCTGGGTCAGCATGTAGGTGAAACAGGAGAGTCCCCCCTCCTGGACCCATGTCTACCTTCAGACCTGCAGGACGAGGTGGGGCCAGCAACACAGAAACTCCACCTGCGTGGCACAGGGGACTTTGATCACTGCAGACAGCTTCTTCAGCCCTTCCTCAACCACACCAACGAGACTCACTCCTCCCTCAATGGCATCTACCAGCCTCCCATTGACTACCCCAACAGCCATTTCTATGGGTTCTCTGAGTTCTACTACTGCACAGAGGATGTGTTGCGCATGGGCGGGGATTTTAACTCCTCAAAGTATGCCAGTGCTGCCAAGGTGAGCCCTTACTACAGCAAAGCAGCACGTCTTCAATGTAGATTGCAGTCCTCTAACTGCATGTAAAATGCATGTATTTCACCAAAGCTTAGGCTAATTGAAGTTAGATGGTGGCTGTGTTTACCTATTTACTTTGTGCTTCATCTGCAGAGTTACTGCGCCACCCAGTGGAGAACTCTGAAAGAGCGATTTGACTCAGGCTTGTATGCCTCTCATGCTGATGTTCACAGGCTCAAGTAAGCCCCACCACTGGCTCTTGCTATTTTAGTAAGACTTGAGTCCAGTAATGGTAAAGGGTTGTCAGGGAGATTTCATGTTAACATTTATGTATTGTGTGCAGGTACCAGTGTTTTAAATCAGCCTGGATGTATGAGGTATTCCACACAGGCTTCTCCTTCCCTACGGACTACAAAAACCTGAGGAATGCCCTTTTGGTCTATGATAAAGAGGTACAATGGACTCTTGGAGCCATCCTTTACAGAACGCGCTTTTTGCCTTTGAGGTAAGAGAGCTCTTGCTTTGTCACACTTCATTATGCTTGTACATTGTGATAACCTAATCAGCTAAAATATTGGTTATGAAAAATTGAAAAATAGTTAATGTCCTTCACTCACACTATTTTACATTCCTCTCCAAGGGATATTCAGCAGGAGAGCCTGAAAGGAGTCCACTCCCACTGGCGTCACAGCTTCTCCTTTGTCAACAACCACTACTTGTTCCTGGCCTGCTTCCTGGTTGTCCTCCTGTCCATCCTGCTCTACTTGCTGCGCCTCCGACGTATCCACAGCTGTACCACGCAGCGCTGCACCCCCTCTACTGTTGAGTGGCTAGAGGAGGGTCTCCGATCCCACCCACTCCCTATCACCCTCTAGACTTCACATCTGTCACTCCAAAATCAGTCTTATTTTCTCCAGCTGGAGTCCATTTGCCTGCGCCTTTATGTTAAGGCCTTCATTTGTTAGCTGGAAATGACAAAGAAGACTAAAACTGAGTTGGATTTTGAATGAGTCCAATGAACAGAGACGTCAGACAGCACTGGGATGGACTCTGGTGTGGGAGATCTTGTTAATTTATTTTTTATGATATCAAAATATCAGCCTTTTTTATGTTTCTGGAAATGTGAACGAGGTACGAAGAGCGTAGCTATCCTTGCCTGGAGTTTGTGAGCTCCCATCCGTACTTGGTCCAGTTACGCAGGCTTGTTTAAACCTTCCTGTAAGGTTTGAATGGTAGCTGCCTCACAACTTCCCCTAATTAGTCATTCCTAAAACGGCATATTGTAAAATAATGTCCCTAAACTGCACTCTTTTCCAATGAAGGGGCACAGCATTGAATCAATGTGACAAGACAATAGTAGGTTTATGAGGACGATGATGAAACAGTTACTGTTTACAGTACATACTGTATTAGCTCATATTTATAGATTCACTGTTCTTGAGTAGAGTTTCACTTATCTGTCACATTATCCTGATGCAATTTTATTTCAAAGTGTCATTGTTTGTGTTCTAGCGTCTCTGTTTGCATTTTGGGTGCATGATCAGTGAATGTTTATTGGTTGTGGGGAGGAATGGTGTGTGCGCCTCTGTTAACCCTCAAAGTTTACTGCTCTGAAAGTGTAGACGGACACCTGTCATACTTTGATTCATTGCTTCTTTTTTAATTTAGTTTTTTAAAATCTTTTAAGATGCAAGTAACTACTTACAGCTCTTCAGAAACCACTGTTCTAAATTGATGTTTTGATCTTTTGTAGTAGACTTTTGGTCCTTTCTCACTCCACACCGCCACCCTTGTTGCAGAACAGGTAGTGTTTATCAAAGCTGCAATGGTGCAATATTTATTCATGTATTATCACTGTGGAGAGATGCTCCAGCCACATCAGCAGAATTCACAGTGAGGGCTCAGAGCTACAGTAGGGTAAAACTGTTTGCTGTCTCCTCAGCTCAATGAAGTGACATGTTGCAGATAACAATTTAATTTGGGAATGCCTTCGTATACTGTCAAACTCACTGGGCTTCGTTTTCAGAAGCTGTGATATCACTGCTGTAAAGGGGATAGTTTATGAAAGCGTATGTATATGTATGTATGTATGTATATGTATATATTCCTGTGTGTGTATGTATGTGTGTATATATATATATATATATATATATATATGAGATCAATGTACGGTTTGCACAGGGAAAAAATGTTATCAACAATCCAGTTGTTGAATAATAAAAATATACAATCAGACTGTTTTGGAGATTTATGGTGTCAAATCAAAAGCTACAAAAATCATTAAATGCAACCTGTTGGTGATTTTCACTTGTATTGTCATGTGGAATATATTGGGTGGCCTCATTGTATTGAGGAGAGTTGGCTGGAAATTGCTGATGATTGAGAGTCCCCCTTGGTGACACAAGGGTTGAGTAAACAAACTCATGCATAGTTACAGCAGCCATAGTCAGGCTTCACAAGTCCCCAGTAGCATGGGAAGAGCCGGAGTGTAGCACTAGGATATCAATCAAGACTACTAAACTGCAGACATCCACTAATGACCCCCTCACCCAAGCACAAGTTGCCCATTAGAGGACATGTTGTTGTAGCCGTCCTGTCTCAGAGTCTCTGGGTGGCCAGGTTTGAGGCACTGCACTGTGGGGGTTTGTTTTCACTCCTCTCCCCTGTGTTACGTTTCTGGTCTGCCCCAGCTGGTGATGGATGAGTCTGAAGAGGAGTTTAGTCAAGCCAGGTTGGCCATTTAGGATGGGTAATGTAAACACTGGATTGAACAGATTATATGCAATGTATTTTACAGATTAATCCATTTTTACACTATTGAATGTTAATTTCTCTATGATAAGCCGCCTCCAACATTGTTTTAGAGAATTTGGGAGTACATCCAACCGGCCTCACAACAGCAGGCCACATGTAACCACCCCAGCCCAGGGGGGGTGAGTATTTCTGTCTGTAATAAACTGCTTTTGTGGGGAAAAACTCATTCTGATTGGCTGGGCCTGGCTCCCCAGTGGGTGAACCTTGCTCGGAAGTGGGTGGGCTGCGCCCCTGCCCAGTCAAGTGAAATCCATAGATTAGGGCCTAATAACTTTATTTCAATTGACTAATTTCCTTCTATGAACTGTAACTCAATGAAATCTTTGAAATTATTGCATGTTGCGTTCATATTTTTGTTCAGTATACAATAATAAACTGGTCATATTGTTTAGCATAGCAAGTGGTCATTAATTCAAAGTGCCCAAACTAGAGACAGTAGCTGTCTGAGATGTCTGCATTCCACATTTGTAAATTCAGTCCAGCTCTAACCTCCGATACCTGCTGGCTAGTCTCGCATTGCCATACCTCCAAATTCACGTCGTTGTCTTCGGTGTCTGGAGAATTTTGTATTGCAAAAAAAGGTTTGAATGGTCCGCTAGTTTTCAAGTTATCAAGTGTGGCCGACATATTTATTGAAATTGAAAGTGTATTACGCTGGAAAGTCAAGCGTAACAACACGTTCTAAACCGCTCAGGTGACAAACACAGTTTTATTCCTTATTCGTCCACATAGCTGCTGGCTCCGCTTTGCTACCACCGAAAGTATTGTGAAGATTGCCCATTATTTTGTTTTTGTAACGACCCAAAAAGACAGAGGTGGTGGGAGAGCCTATTCAAGTAAGTAAATACATTTTTAAAAGTATTTATTATTAGCTAGCCACAGTAGGCCACTTTGTAGGCTAACTAGACTGAGTAGCTAGCTAGTTAGCTAACTTTACACACTGTTTAGCTAAGGGAATTAAATGCAATCAGCTACTGTAGCTAACTTCTTATTAGCTATCTTGATATAATCATTGTACATTTTAAAACACAGTCTCCAAATGCATTTTTAGATAACAGCCATGGAAGAGGGTGAAATTGCAGCTCCAGCTGTCAGTAAAGGGAGAGTGTAGGCTACTGGATAGGGCAGGTCATTTTGTGGGAGGATGTTATGAAAAGATTCTCCAGTTCCAGTCCCTAGAGTGTTAAACTTTGAGGACATAGAGATAATGGCAACATAATATTCAGTGCTGTCTAATTTGAGTGTAATGAAGCCTGTTTCTTTGTGATGTTTTCTGTCCTCAGATATGGAAAGCAGTGAAAGCTTGTTTGCAGATGAAGAGTGAGGTCCCAATAAATGTCCAAAGTGACTACAGGGTATATCCTATATGCCATGGGTTATATGTGTAGGCCTACCTATGTTAGAAAATGTTGTATACAAAAAAACAGTTAAACGTCACACACAATGTATAAACCTATTACAATTGGAGCAGGCTGGAGGTCTGCTGGGTGTGCAAGGTTCTGTTTCAGCCCAGCAATAACACACCTGATTCAACATATCAAATCGAATGAGTTGATAATCAGGTGTGCGATTGCTGGGCTAGAATAGAAGTCTGCTCACCCAGTAGATAGATCAGGGATCAGTGGAGCAAGGTTGAGTTTTTTTTGTTCTCCTGGAATGATACTTTAGTAATAATAGCCTACTTGTTACTACTCAATTATCTATTGTTGTTTAGACTAAGATGTCTAATCTTTACACATGAGTTAGCTTATTTGTACATTTTGAAGTGAGAAGTGTTTATTCTTTGTAGTTATGCGTTTAATTGTTAAACTATTATTCAAAATGAACTACTGTCAATGTTGTATTCTCAAATTAACGTTTCCTTTTTGTCTAGTTGTAAGATCTCCAATCGGTTTTATTTTATTGTCGCTCTCTCTCTGTGTATATCAGCTATGTGAATCCATTTAGCAGCTTATCATATGGCATGCATGGCCAATGAGTTGAGTTGAGTTGATGCTAAAGAGTTGAGTTGATGCTAAAGAGCTCGATTTTGGTCTCATCTGACCACAACACTTTCACCCAGTTCTCCTCTGAATCATTCAGATGTTCATTGGCAAACTTCAGACGGGCATGTATATGTGCTTTCTTGAGCATGGGGACCTTGCAGGGCGCTGCAGGATTTCAGTCCTTCACGGCGTAGTGTGTTACCAATTGTTTTCTTGGTGACTATGGTCCCAGCTGCCTTGAGATCATTGACAAGATCCTCCCGTGTAGTTCTGGGCTGATTCCTCACCGTTCTCATGATCATTGCAACTCCACGAGGTGAGATCTTGCATGGAACCCCAGGCCGAGGGAGATTGACAGTTCTTTTGTGTTTCTTCCATTTGCAAATAATCACACCAACTGTTGTCACCTTCTCACCAAGCTGCTTGGCGATGGTCTTGTAGCCCATTCCAGCCTTGTGTAGGTCTACAATCTTGTCCCTGACATCCTTGGAGAGCTCTTTGGTGTTGGCCATGGTGGAGAGTTTGGAATCTGATTGATTGATTGCTTCTGTGGACAGGTGTCTTTTATACAGGTAACAAGCTGAGATTAGGAGCACTCCCTTTAAGAGTGTGCTCCTACTCTCAGCTCGTTACCTGTATAAAAGACACCTGGGAGCCAGAAATCTTTCTGATTGAGAGGGGGTCAAATACTTATTTCCCTCATTAAAATGCAAATCAATTTATAACATTACTGACATGCGTTTTTCTGGATTTTTTTGTTGTTATTCTGTCTCTCACTGTTCAAATAAACCTACCATTAAAATTATAGACTGATCATTTCTTTGTCAGTGGGCAAACGTACAAAATCAGCAGGGGATCAAATACTTTTTTCCCTCACTGTAGACAGTACGTGGTTGCTCTATGTATCACTGATCACTGAATATTCTGTCAGCACCATAGAGTAACACTTTCAGTTCGCATTTGGTAGACTGGGAGAGCAGGATAAATACACCATTATTATAGTCCTAATTTTACCCCAATGACAATTATATTCAATTTTGTGTGTTTAGGAAACATCTGATTAGGAAACTTTTTCTGAATTCAGTCAAATAACAGTACAATACTACAAGAAAAAATGAACAGCATACAGTATAGTACTACAAGAAACAGAGCCCTGCCTAACCTAAGTACAGGTGGTCCCTATTGTAAACTGGATCTCTTTCCTCCATTGGAAAAGCCTAGAAGACTGTCACACTTTAGCTACTCCATGCTGTCCTACTTTAGCTAGCTACGGTATGGTTGGTAA